TTAACTGATAAGCCTGGGCATATTGGTTAATCCTGTCGACTACACACATTTCCCACTGCCCTTGCTGTTTCTGTATCAGCTGGCTCCCCATGAGGGTGAGGATAAAGAGGCAGCAGCACGGAGGGTAAGGGGGACAGGTGGGAACTGATATGCATGGTGAGCCAGCTTTTAAGCGTGCTGGCTCCGCTGACCCTCCTGTTCCATTCCTCCCCCCTGCACTGCTGCTTCTGTAGGAGGCAGCAGCATAAGGGGGCCGGGGTGCAGGGAGGCTTTTGTAGGGTTGCCAGATGGTTTCAACAAAAATACCAGACACACGTGACGTTACATCACAATCTTCATCACATCTTATTTAGAAAATACTGGACATTTATATTTTCTCATTTATATTTTTTCAATTTATTTCCCGAGCAGAAAGCTCAAATACTGGAGTGTCTGGTTCAAAACCAGACACCTGGCAGCCCTAGGCTTTTGCGAAGCAATGCCCCGGCTCACTGCAAACAGAGGCTGCTCAACAGCAGCAGTCCTGACTGTGGGGGTTTCAAGCTCCCCATGGTCAGGGGCTGCTACCACCCTGTGCTGCTGCTTCTGTATCAGAGGTGGCAGCATGAGGGTCTGTGCGGGCAGCTGGTTTTTAAATTTGCCAGCCCCGCCTCTGAGGACTATCAAATAGTCATGTAACTGCTAAAAATGGATGCTGTTACACAACTATTTAATTACACACCATCTAACATCCCTATTTGATACAGCGAAAATATGTGAGCCTATATCAATTCGTATCTGAGCATCTGGCACATCTCTGAAAGCAAATAGCAGCTTCTTGTTGCAACAGCAGGCAAAGAACATTCATAAAAAAGCACTGGAGATTCAGTCTGGCATCATATGAGCTTATTTTGCTTGCTTTCATCATGAAAATGAGCCTGGCCAAGATTTTTATGCTTGGGTATGTAATTTAGTTTCTTAACGCATTATTCAAGCACCCAAAAGTGGCCCTGTTTTTGGATATGCTGACCATCTCTCCCCCCCCCCCCTGAGGGGAGGCCTCCAACGTCCACGACCTCTGCACTAGGCACAGGAATGTGTGCCCTCTAGGGCCTGCATATTTATACCTGCCTCTGGAAATTTCCACTACATGCATCTGACTAAGTGGGTCTTTGCCCATGAAGGCTTATGCTCGAACACTTCCATTAGTCTATAAGGTGCCACAGAACTCCTCGCTGCTTTTATAGGGAAGTATATTCATCCTAAATATACATAGGCAGGAAGCAGATCCCGAAACTGCAGGTGATTGCAGGGAAACATTAGGATTGAAAAAGCAAGAATACTCCAGAAAGTCATCCTTGGTCCTTTCCCCAAAAGTGCCTTCGTATCACTGCAGGGATCTCTGTTCCTGTTTAATAATGGTGACAAAACAGGAAGCGGGCAGAGTGCTTGGTTTTGGAGCCTGGAGTGAGCAGAGGCTAGGAGGTACATGGGATCCTGAGGTACATTCTTAAGGGTCAGTAATATAAGCGTTAGCACTTTTGTTGAGCGCCAGGTGTTCTGAAATACAGCAGCGACAGTATCCCCACAGCATCCTTGTGAGGCTCAAAAATCTTATTACCCCATTTCACAGGTTTGTGAGGATCCAGTCCCATATAAACATTGTGATGTAGCCTTCTTGACTACAGTAGAGTTGTACTGATTTACACCTGCTGAGGTCTAGTTGTGCTCAAACATACATGGTCATCCCATTTTTCGGGAGCCCCTTTTAGTTTTCAAAACTAGCAATTACACAGAACTGTTAAAATTGATAGTGTCATTATTTCCCAGCTAATGAATTCCTCCCTGACAGCCTTATCTGTTCCCTCCAGAAATACCTGCAAAAGTGGGCTGTTTTACAGCGGGTCTGGAAGGCTACCAAATCTCTGGGAGTGAAGGAGCATTGCAAAATTCAGGGACCCTCATAGAGAATAACCAGGCAGCTGCGCTCTGTTCTGAATGAGGGGATCAGCACCTCGAGTGCCTCCACTGATGGTAACTGCAGTAGTGTAGAGCACAAAAAGGGGGGCCTGTCTGGTAGCTTAGACCCATGTCATTTAATAGATCAAACACACACCCTGAACTCCACCGTGAAGCCCCCAGGCCACCAGTGCAGCTACACTGGTATTATGTGCTCCCAATGAAAAACACCATATAACAGGCAACCTGCCAAGTTCCAGCCTAAGAATAGCTTCTGAAAGGGCCCAAGCAAAGTGCCCGACAGACATCTAACTCAGGGTGGCAGAGGCTTTGATACACTGGAGACACAACACAAAGAGGTCAAGTGGTTTGCCCAGATCACACAGGAAGTCTGTGGCAGGCTTAGGAACAAATTTCAGTTCTTCTCATTCCAGGTCTGCACGTTAACTGCAAGACTATCTCTTCCTTCAAGGAGTATTAGGCACATGGCTTCA